AACTTCCAGTTTTTCAGCACAATTACATGTAAGTGGAATGCATTAAAATAATACTTAAGGATTTAAAACCAGCTATGTTTGAAGCAATCAACATCTTGCTTTTGCGCCATTTTTTAAAAAAATATTTATTTCCTTTTCATCATGATTCACAACACATTTGCACAGTATTTCTTACATGGGAAAAATTGCACAAAGGACTGTTTTTTCATGTGTATGACTGCATTTCATGTGTCATTCATTTCAGTACAATGGTAAGCAACTGTGTAGAAATGAAAGGCAGAATGATCACTTCAGCTGATTTCCCTGTTATTTGGATTGCAGAGCCTCCAAGTGTCCCTATTTTGTAGGGACGTCCCTGATTTAGAGAAGCCATCCCGATTTCTCATTTGATCCCGGAATGTCCCACTTTTCCTTAGGATGTCCCTATTTTCATTGGAGAAATGTTGGGGATATGGAGTTAGGCAGCCCCCAAACTGTCTGAAAGCAATCCTGTAAAGGGAAGGGTTTTTTTAATGTTTAATGTTTTATTATGGTTTTTATATATGTTGGAAGCTGCCCAGAGTGGCTGGGGCAACCCAGTAAGATGTGTGGGGTATAAAACCTACATTGAGCAATATACTGATTATATGCTGTGAAATCCTATTCATAATTATTCAGAAGTTGGATTGTAATATATGTGTGGGTATTGTCATATGTGTGGGGGCCCTGTTTCCACCAGGCAATTCATGGCAATATAGTATTCCTGTTAAAGCACTGGATTGCCCCAGATTATTCTGATTTTCCACAGCGTTGCTTAAGCAATTTGACTCCAATTGAATATGACCTGGTGAGTTAAACTTCCTTACCTGGTGGAAATTGTGTATCTTTGAAAGATGCAGTGTAGTTCTTGACAGTTCTGAAGGGAAATGCAGAAATACTTTTTTGAAAGCATTTCAAATGAAATGAACAGGAACTGAAAGGAACTGAAATTAAGGATAAAAATGTATAAAAATACCTCTACTCGTTCGCACTGCACAATAGTACATAGCACTGGATAAAATTTTCTGCTATAAATGTCTCCTCTCAAATATACAAGAAAAAGCAAGTCCTCTTAAATGAATATTCCTTCAGAACATGGGAGGGGGAATTGTGTCTTTATTGAGCTGTGATAAATATATTGCATGACCAGGCGGAGACCCCCTGACCCCAGGCGACACCTGGGTGGAGTAATGACTCATGACAACATGCTATGGGATTAAAATTGGCCACAACTTTATTAAACTTTCAGATGTAGGGAGACCTTGACTTAGGCATTGGGCGTTTATTCCTCCCAGTCCCCAGCCGAGGATCTGGGGAACACCAGGATTATGTAATCTGTGTGGGGTTAGGGCTGGCTCTGGAAGACGTATGTTTAAGCAGAGAGCCCCCCCCCCATTTCACTGTAACACAGGGGAGAGCACTGACAACCTTTCAGCGTATGGCCAGTGACTCCCCTCATCACAACCCCTTTAACGGGGAACCCTGGGATTGCCACCACGGGGGGGGGACGGACACATGAGTCACCGCTTCCCCCCCCCCCCGCCATTTAGGGAAGATAGACTAAAGGATTCCACCCAAGGCCTGAAACTGCCAAAGTTGTGACATTTTGCTGTGGGGAAGGCAAAACCTGCTAATGCAGTGAAATTCCTCCCCGGTCCTTCAACAGCAACCATTAATGACTGCAGCAGCGCCTGCATACTTGTAAAGAAGAGGTAACCTGCAATAAGAAGGCATAAACTGAGGGAGGGTTGGGCGGGAGAAGCTCTGGAGCTGACTGAGGGCTCCCAGGTAAGTTTCACCCTCTATTGTGTGTGCAGGGCGGTCCCAATCCTACCTGGCCCATTCCCCTGGCAACGTCTCCCCAGCTGGGATTGGTTAATTGTTTAAGGTTAGGCAGGAACCTCCAGGTATCTAGTTTGGGGAGGCAAAGGTGGGCTGCATTGCGGGGAATCGCGTAGGCTTGGGTGGAGGCTGCGCATGACCACACAAACAGTGCCCCCCATTTCATGTGGGGAGTAGCCATTTCCATTACAATGTTATTTCCATCCAAATTGATTTAATGGCTTTATTATTATTTGTTGAGTCCAGATGCTCATCATGGCTTTACAGACTTGGGGAAAATTGCAAGTTTTGTTGTCAGAGAAATGAATAGGAGTAAAACGGAGAGAAATAAAAAAAAATTGTGTCCATATTTTGACTTTTTGAAATATGGCAACCCTACCTTACTCCTATATCCATATGATAAAGCTACAGAACTACAATCATTTGCATGCTTGTGTAGGAGTAAACCACATCAAATAAATTAATCCAGGGGCTTCTAACTGGCCATGTATAGGATTTCAGGGTCTATACTAAAAATTACTGGCCTGTTACAAAATGTGTACTAAGCCCAAACTCCAAATATTTTTCCAGATCCCTGGTGGATATGAGGCCATAGCAGCTCATGCTGGATTGCAACCCTCTCTCAGTGTGCCTGCACAGCCCCTAACTTGACATTGTATATATACCCAGCATCAGCCAGATAAGTTGTAGCAGTTTTAGGACAGTGATTCCACAACTCTGGACAACAAAACAGGCTACTAATTATTGTTTCTTCTCTATTTAGTAACATAGTACATAGGATATTCTGATAGAAGCAGCTAGAAATACTTTCTGTGGTCTGAATTGTACTTTTATTTTATTCCATATAACTGTAACCATTTTACTGTTGTTGTTGCAGTTGTTATTGTTTCTCTTCTCTTTGTTATAATTTTTTTGTTGCATTCAGATGCTCATTTTACTAGAAAACAATCAAACAACCATCACAGAATTTATTCTCTTGGGATTCGGGAATCTTCATGGTCTACAAATCCTTCTATTTGTGACATTCTTGGCTATCTACCTGATTACAGTCTCTGGCAACATCCTCATATTGATTACTGTATCACTCAGCCGAGGCCTTCACACACCCATGTATTTCTTCCTGTTAAATTTCTCTTTCCTGGAGATATGGTATACAACCTCAGTTGTCCCAAAGATGCTGAAGACTCTTCTTAAAGTACGTGAAGCCATCTCCTTCTCTGGTTGCATTACCCAGTTTTATTTCTTTGGCTCCATGGCAGTCGTTGAATGCTATCTCTTAGCAGTGATGTCTTATGATCGGTACTTAGCCATCTGCAATCCACTTCGCTACACAACCATCATGAACATCAAAGTCTGCTTTCAGATGGCAGCTGGTTCCTGGATAAGTGGATTCCTGACTCCCATAATGACTATCGTGCTAACTTTCCGATTGCCGTTCTGTGCCTCCAATGAAATTGACCATTTCTTCTGTGTTTTAAGCCCTATTATAAAGCTCTCCTGTGCTGACCCTCATATAGCAGAAATGACCACATTCATTTTAGCATCCATGGTGACAATGGTCCCCTTTCTTCTCACTTTGGCTTCATATGCCAAAATTATTTCAACTGTTTTGAGAATTCCATCTGCCAAAGGGAAGCAGAAAGCTTTCTCCACATGTTCCTCTCACCTCATTGTGGTGACACTGTTCTATGTCACTTTAGGTACTGTTTATGCAGCCCCATCAGCAAAACAGTCACCCATTCTCAATAAACTCTTCTCTTTGTTATACACTGTCATCACACCCATGTTCAACCCCATGATCTATAGTCTGAGAAACAAAGATGTCAAAGAAGCCCTGTGGAAACTCATCTATAAAGAACCTTATTGTCCGTGCATGGCCACCACTGTGGAACCAGAGGCAGCATATAAGGGAACCCCAATAGAAGTGGCAATAGACCAGTGATCCCTACTTCTAATAAGTGAGGTATTGTTTTCTTTGAAGGGACAATTTACTCATTCATCCCAATCTTTTAATTTTAGAAAGATTTAGTATTAATTTCTATTGTGTTTCTGCATAGGCAATTGCTTGGGTTTATAAATGGACGTCATAATTTATGTCAGGGATTCCAAGCCATGTGGCTGCCAAATCTCCTTCCCACACCCCCACCCCAAATGCCAGGGCTATATGGAGGCAGAATAGATGCGAAAGACTTTGATCAGAATTGGAATTAAAGGTATCATCATTTTTTTCCTTTAACTGCTTCTTCTATTCAGAGCCAGCATGGTGTAGTGGTTAAGAGTGGTAGATTTGTAATCTGGGGAACCGGGTTCACTTCCCCGCTCCTCCACATGCAGCTGTTGGGTGACCTTGGGCTAGTCACACTTCTCTGAAGTCTCTCAGCCTCACTCACTTCACAGTGTTTGTTGTGGGTGAGGAAGGGAAAGGAGATTGTTAGCCACTTTGGGGTTCCTTAAGGGAAGTGAAAGGTGGGATATCAAGTCCAAACTCCTCCTCCTCTTCTCTGTTCTACATTCTACTGTTCCTCATTTTCAGTTGAACTAGAATGTCTAACACTGACATAATATATGCAGTTTGCCATAACATACAGTCCGTTTAGCCAAATTGCTTCCCCCACTAATTTCTCAAGGTAACACTCAGACATAAAATGTTTTGATGCATTTTGATGTTATTAAAAGTATGTTTCCATCAATATTTTTTGTTTGTTTGGTCTTACATTGATATGAAAATGCGCTCTTTGAAAGTGCTTTAAAACAAATCTTAATAAATTTCATAAATCTATCCTTCACAAACTTTCCCAGATTGAGAAATAAATATGAAATCAAATATATATAAAAATTAGGGCTGCCTTAAGACCAGATTTTCCCAGACATTATTGGGATTTCAAAGGTGGAATTGATATCTGGGGAGGAGTTTCTGAAAGGAGACACTTTGTCAAGTCAATGATACAAACTTGTTTTATTGGCGTTTTTGTAAGGGGGGGGGAGCTCAACAATTTTATTATGTTGATTAGAGAGAGCTGATGTTTTAGTAGCATCCAATGTAGAAGAAAAATCAACACTAAATTAATATAAAATGAAGAGGCAGTTTATAATTAGCATAAACCTGGTTCAATAAACTATAGAAACAAATATTTAATTCTTCAGTTAGTTCTTCGTATTAGCTGTTCCCTTTTGTTCAATTCAGGCTTCAACAAAATAATGTAGCATTTGGGTGAAAAGATGCAGACCAATAATCCAGCACTGGAGGCTAAGATAGAAAAGATCTCCACAGCTACCATGTATTTCCCCTTAGTGCTCAAGTAGGTTGGAACAAAGGATAACCACACACTGCAAAACACTAACATGCTAAAAGTGATAAACTTGGCTTCATTGAACGTGTCGGGTAACTTCCTGGCAAGGAAGGCCAAAGTGAAGCTGGCAATGGCCAGGAAGCCAATATAGCCAAGGACACAATAAAACATAATCACAGTCCCCTCGTTACATCCAAGTATTATTTCTTCAGCCATTGAGTGTACATCAGCCTCTGGCAACGGGGGAGAGATTACCAGCCACACAATGCAAATGCCTCCTTGTATAAGGGAGCAAGAAAGTACAATGGAATTGGCCAGCCTCTTTCCCACCCATTTCCTCATTCTGGATCCTGGCTTGGTGGCCATGAAAGCCAGAACCACAGTGAGGGTTTTTGCCAGCACACAAGAAACAGCCACTGAGAAGACGATGCCAAAAGCAGTTTGTCGGAGGAGACAGGTCAGCATCTGAGGCTGTCCAATGAATAGCAGTGCAGAAAGGAAGCAGAGCAGGAGGGAGAGGAGGAGAGTGTAGGTGAGCTGCCGGTTGTTGGCTTTGACAATGGGAGTGTTGTGGTTCTTCATAAATGTGAAGAGGACTAGAATGGTGACCAAAGAACCGGAAAGAGCAGAAAAGGCTAAACTGAGCCCCACAGGTTCTTCAAAAGACAAAAAGCTTATTTCCTTGGGAATACAGAAATTATGGTTTTTATTTGGGTAAGTTTGGTCTGAACATGTAGCACAGTCAATCGTATCTGAAAAGGAAAATATTTGGCATAATCTCACAAACATGCCGTTAATCTCAAGAGCAGCCAATTTTACAATTTAAATTGGAGAAGAATAAGTTATTCATCCTGTAAAATGTAGTGTGACTACAGTAATTAAGGCTGAGTCTTTCTAAAGTGGAAAGTTTCAAATTCTTCCCAACTTTAAGGCCTTAAGCAGCCATTTTGTTTAACTTGAAAACCAAGCAAACAGAAATGATACCACAGAGCCCTGCTATGCATGTTTGCTTATTGCAGTGTTTCCCAACCTTTTTTGGGCAAAGGCACACTTGTTTCATGAAAAAAATCTCGAGGCACACCACCATTAAAAAATGTTTAAAAAATTAACTCTGTGCCTATATTGACTATATATAAACTTTTACTTATGTAAAAAAAAATAAAAAAATAGTAACAGCATAGAAGGTAATGGTTAGGCCCTCTTCCAAATATGCTGGGTTTTTATTTGCAGGGACTGTTCTACATGGGAAAGCATTCAGCACTGTCATTCTCCCATCAGCTATCTGAATTGGTACTATTCTGGGTCAACTTACTCTGCTGCATGTGTAGATGAAAATGGCACCAAGTGTGGGGGAGGGGGCAGAACAGGTTTCAGATACAGGATATTAAGCATACACGTACTTCAGATTGAACTGGTTGCTTGCTTTGCAAGTTTTCATTTCCCAAATGACTGCCTTGGCAAGCGCAATACCTACCAGGCTCAAGGCCGGTCTCGCGCTGCCGCTTCCCACGCTCTCAAGGACCCGAGAGGAGGAAGGCGTGAAGGGAATCCCGAATACCTGGGCCTAAGCCATCCAGGGCTTTAAAACTTAATTTTGAACTGGGCTCAGAAATGAACATGAAGGCAGTGCAGCTGTTCCCTATGACTGGAAGCCAACGCACACAGTCCAGGCTCCCATCAATAGTCTGGCTGCAGCATGCCAAACACTTAGCAGTTTCAATCCTGTGTTGAGCATGCTACAGTCATCCAAACATGGCATCACTAAGGCACAAATGGCCAGATCAGCCATTTCAAGGGGCAGGTGCAATGGGCACACCAACCTAACTTGCTCAGAAGCACTCCTAGCTGCAGCAACCACCTGAGCATCCAGATTTAAAACCGAGTCTAGGAGGATGGCTAACCCCATTCAAGACAGGTCGCATTCTGGTCCCTGGACTGGCCATTCAACTTGACCAGGAGCATGGAAGACCTTTGCCATCTCTGGATTGCGTTTCCATTGACTTGTCCACCCACAGACTTGTGCTGCCTCAGAGCAGATGCACAGGGAGGCAGGCACTGCCTGTTGACCTCCCCATTGAGAGCCATCAGTGGGCTTGGTGGTGGCTATGTTCCACTTCCACCTCTGAATACCAGTTAAACTCCAGTCCTGCTTGTGGGCTTCCCAGAAGAGACATCTCGTTGGCCAACGTGGTCTGAACTAGATGGGTCCCCCTTGGCCAGATCCAGCAGCAGGGAGCATTTTTAATGTTCTGAAACTGACTCTGAAAGTGGGTGCAGAGTAGGGCCATTGTGCTTAAATTAATGACCAGTGTCCTGGTCTTGGGTCTGGGGACTTCGCTGTTCCCAGGTCCCAATGGGTCAAATAGCAGGGAGCTCAGATAAGGAGCAGGTGCAGGTTTGCCCCACAACCACAAGATGGGAGAGCGGTAGAGCCAGTTTTCCTTTGCTTTGAACTAAAGGCACCCTTTATCAAAGTTCTTTTTCCTTAGGCACTGGTGTGTGTTGTCTTGAACTATACACTATTTAATATACCTATTCCAGTATGATTTTAAATAAAAATAGAAGAAGAAATAATAATGATTTTTTTAAAAAGATGACAAGATGGGCTTCCAGGCAGACTGGAGCTCCAACGGGGAGGAGACAGGAGCCTGTCCCAACAGAGCAGAGCAGAAGCAAATGTTGCCTCCCCCCGCCCTGCCGCCGCACTCAGGAGTCGGAGGATACGGAGCTGCAGTTTGGACAGCAGCAGTTTCTTCCTTGCAAGGGAGCCCCAGCGGTACTGCGGGTGCGGGTGGCCAGGATGTCCTGCTGGGGCCCCGAGCTGCTGCAGTTGCTCCCGGGGAGGGGGCTAGTCCTCCGGGCCCGGAGAAAGCCGGTGTGTTGGCGCGGGGAGGGGGGCGGTATTTCGTAGCCAGGCTCCCGCAGCCAAGTTGCTGGCAGGCGCCCACTTTGCTCCAGCCACCCAGATGCCGGCGCGGTCCTCTTCGGGGTGGGAGGTGCCCCTGCTTTGCGGTGTAGCACACCGCCCGCCCCGCTCGGCTCCCTCCACCCCACTCTGCGCAGCTGAACCGGCAGCAGCTTCGCCTCTCCCTGCCCAGCCCGGGCGCGCCGCCTGTGGCAGGACCCGCGCCGGGTCCCCGCTCTCCACTCGCCTCCGCCGTTCCCTTACCCGCCTGCCGGCCCCGCTACTTACCCACCACGGCGACCCCCAGCCAGCCCCTGGCCCCGCCGCCCACGCCCCCGGCCATCTCCTCGCCAGCTGCAGCGCCGCAGTGGCCTCTTCTTCCGGCCCGAGCGAGCGAGCGGCGTCCCAAGTGTGGCTCTTGCTCCGCCACTGCCTGCCCTCGCTGCCAGCCTCCGCGGCTCTCTCGGGCTCCAAAAGTTGCCGCGCGCGCGACCTGCCCCCTCGAGCAGCCGCGCCTGGGAGGCTCCGAGGGGCGGAGGCAGCCGGCTCCGAGCTCGGCTTGGCGGGACCGCCTCCTCCGCAGCGAGCCCTGGACTGGACCGAGCGAGCAGAAAGCCTCTTTGCCCGGCCCGCGAGGCTGGCGAAAGTTGCGGGACTGGCCGGTACGCAGCGCCGACGGGGCGAGTCGGTTGGGGAGCCCTGTCTGCAAGCAGGCAGGGAAGGCTGTTCGCGTGGGTCACTTTTTAGAAAGGCAGAGAGCCTCCGCCGGAGTGAGGATCCTAAAATCTGGGACCAGTAAAAAGGACGAGAAACTCGCTTCCTCGCCCTTGATGCCAGGGGCTCCCAAGCCAGTCTCTGCAGCCATGACTGCCGGGAGCATCAGAGTGGGTGAAAGTCCTCCTCGCCACCGCCGCCCCGCCTCCCTCCCACGGCACACCAGGCAGCGTCTCGCGGCACACTAGTGTGCCGCGGAACACCGGTTGGGAAACACTGGCTTATTGCACTAGTAATCTGTATTTCACTGCTTCTACCAAGGCTATTATACACATGCAATTCAAATTAGCTGACAAAAGCAATTGAAATACAACATATGGCTGGAAGGAAGTTTATCTTGTTATAAAGGCAAAGGACCCCTGACAGTTAAGTCCATTCGCGAACGACTCTGGGTTGCGGCGCACATCTTGCTTTACTGGCCGAGGGAGCCGTCATTTGTCCACAGGCAGTTTTTCCGGGTCATGTGGCCAGCATGACTAAGCTGCTTCTGGTGAAACCAGAGCAGTGCACAGAAACGCCATTTACGCAGTGGTGGAGCTTCATGCTTCAGCACCGGGAGGCAGAGAGTAGGCGGGGGTGGGGTTGGCATGCGTCCTGGGGGCATGGTACCCAGCATGTGCGGGAGGGCAGCTGTGATGGCACCCCATCGGGATTGTGCTGCCAGGGGCGGTGCGCTCCCCCCGCACTCCTCTTCCTCTGCCAGTGCATTTACCTTCCCGCCTTCCTATTTATCTACTTGTACTTTGATGTCCTTTCGAACTGATATTTTGGCAGGAGCTGAGACCAAGCAATGGGAGCTCATCCCATCGTGTGGATTCGAACCGCCAACCTTCCGATCAGCAAGCCCTAGGCTCAGTGATTTATATCACAGCACCACCAGCGTCCCTTATACCTGCATCCCTTAAATAATCCCTGCAATTTCATCACATTAAGTTACAACACAAATACAGTGGTACCTCTGGTTGCGGACATTCTGGAGCTCCGGTCAGATACAGAGGTCTCTGCAAATGGAGGAACTGCTTCTGCGCGTACACACTCAGCAAAAACCCAGAAATATACTTCCTGGTTTGCCGCTTACATATCCCGAAGTTTATGTAAGCGGAAGGATACGTAAGCAGAGGTATGGCTGTACAATTTTACAGGTTAACAAAATTGCAAATGCATTTAGTACTGAATGCTAATGACATGGAAGTGGTAAAGAAACCTCCCTCTAAATTCTAGCATCTACTGTTACATCTTTTAAAAGGCCACATAAAAAAAATGAAATTATTAGCTAACAATGTTTGGAAAATGGAATAAAGTGTTATCTGAATGCAGTCCTAGTGTATACACACATCCTTATGCATTTTTAGCCTTGTTTCTCTGAATTTCATGCAATCTTCCTCTTTCTATATGCATTACTGCTTACCCTTCTGGTCTGAAATTTTCCCTTCTGGACAGGGGATGCAGTCGTAGCAACAAAACGGCTTCCCTTCCTTCATTTTCTTGCTTGAACCAGGAATGCACTTCTTACTGCATACAGAAATAGGCCTTGCCTAATCCATGAATGAAAAAAGAGAATATAGAGCTTGGAGTCCTCAAGAACTTGTGGGGGGTCAACCTTAAATTGTTACCTTAATTTTAACTGAACTTTTGGTCACAATATAAAAATGTTGATGCAGGTGCACCTTGTCTAGAATGCACACATTTTTAATCAAGGAACGGAAATAAGGGTGATTTGGGAGGCCAGCAAAGCGGTAATGAGAGGGTTTCTGATACAACAAAACGCAATTAGGAGAAAGTCACAGAATGAGACTAAAGACAAAATTATGGAACAACTGAAAGATAAAGAGAAGAAGCTTAGCGGAAACCCAAAGAATTTGCAGATCCAAAAAGAAATTAAAGTCTTACAGGTTCAATATTCATAGTTAGTTAAGCAAGAAACTGAATGGAAGATAAGAAGGATGAGACAAATAAATTTTGAATCTGCAAATAAATGTGGGAAATTACTAGCCTGGCAACTAAAGAAGAGACAAAAACAAAGTACTATTACAAACATTGTTACAGAAGGAAAATCGGTAGAGAACCCTGCAGACATTAGAAAATGTTTTTATAAATATTATAAACAACTGTATAAAAAAAGAAAAAGAAGATTTAGGGAAAATTGAGCCATTTATAAAGAACAATGGACTGCAACAGATTCCAAAGGATAAAAAGAATCTACTAAAAGGCTTAATTACAAGTCAGGAAGTGGAATACACAATAAATTCAATGCAACTTGGCAAGACACCAGGACCTGATGGTCTATCAGTGAAATATTATAAGACATTGAAAGATTGGCTTATACAACCTCTGGTAGAAATATCTAATTAAATTTTACGGGGGGCGGGGGGGGGGGCGGGGAAGCACCTGAAACCTGGAAACAAGCTTACATTACTCTGATTCCTAAACAGGGCCTGGATAGATCCAACGTTAAAAACTACAGACCAATCTCCCTACTTAATGTGTATTATAAAATTTTTGCAAATATACTGGCTAATAGGCTAAAGAAGGTTTTATCTGAGTATATTCATAAAGATCAGGCAGGATTTCTGACTGGAAGACATATGAAAGACAATATTAGAAATGTTGTGGATATTTTGGAAAAGTTAGAAGCAAAAAAGAGTTGTAAAGCAATGTTAATGTTTATCGATGCTGAGAAAGCCTTTGACAATGTTTCTTGGAGTTTTATGTTACATAACTTAGAGAGTATGGGGATAGGTCATGATTTTCTAAATGGCATTAAAGCGATCTATCAAGAACAAAATTATTGTAAATAATGTGGTTCCAGAGGAAATTAGAATTGAGAAGGGAACCAGGCAAGGGTGCCAATTGTCCCCTCTGCTGTTTATCTCGGTTCTGGAGGTCTTGCTAAGTATGATTAGAAAAGATGAACAAGTTACAGTGGTGCCTCGCAAGACGAAATTAATTCGTTCCGCAAGTCTCTTCGTCTTGCGGTTTTTTCGTCTTGCGATGCACGGTTTCCCATAGGAATGCATTGAAAATCAATTAATGCGTTCCTAGGGAAACCGCCTTCAGACCAGGTCCGGGGACAGTCTGTCCCCGGACCTCTTCTGAAGGCTGGGGGACGACGACAAGGGCTTTTCTTCCCACCCCCAGCATTTTAAAAAACCCAGGGACAGCAGAGGACTTCTCCGCTGTCCGGGCGATCTTAAAATGCTGGCGGGCGGCATTTTAAAATCGCCCCGGACAGCGGAGGACTTCTCCGCTGTCCGGGGCGATTTAAAAGCCCCTGGGAAGGCAGGCAGGGGGGACAAAGACTTTTGCCCCCCGCCAGCCTTCAGAAGAGGTCCTGGACCTCTTCTGAAGGCGGGCGGGGGGCGAAAGTCTTTGCTCCCCCCCGCCTGCCTTCAAAAGGTGTCCCCGCGGCGGCAGGAGGTGTCCCCTGCCCCCCGCCCGGCTTCGGAGCACCGGGAGAAGCGATCTCCCCGCAGCCCCTTGCTGCAAAAGACGTCCGGGGGAAGCGGGGAAGCGAAGCGCTTCTTCCCCGCTTCCCCCGGACCTCTTCTGAAGCAAGGGGCTGCAGGGAGATCGCTATCTCCCCCCAGCCCCTTACTGCAAAAGACGTCCGGGGGAAGCGGGGAAGCGAAGCGCTTCTTCCCCGCTTCCCCCGGACGTCTTTTGCAGCAAGGGGCTGCAGGGAGATCGCTATCTCCCCCCAGCCCCTTGCTTCAGAAGAGGTCCGGGGGCAGCGGGAAGCGAAGCGCTTCGCTTCCCCGCTTCCCCCGGACGTCTTTTGCAGCAAGGGGCTGCAGGGAGATCGCTATCTCCCCCCAGCCCCTTGCTTCAGAAGAGGTCCAGGGGCAGCGGGAAGCGAAGCGCTTCGCTTCCCCGCTTCCCCCGGACGTCTTTTGCAGCAAGGGGCTGCAGGGAGATCGCTATCTCCCCCCAGCCCCTTGCTTCAGAAGAGGTCCAGGGGCAGCGGGAAGCGAAGCGCTTCGCTTCCCCGCTTCCCCCGGACGTCTTTTGCAGCAAGGGGCTGCAGGGAGATCGCTATCTCCCCCCAGCCCCTTGCTTCAGAAGAGGTCCGGGGGAAGCGGGGAAGAAGCGCTTCGCTTCCCCGCTCATCCGGACGTCTTTTGCAGCAAGGGGCTGGGGGGAGATAGCGATCTCCCTGCAGCCCCTTGCTGCAAAAGACGTCCGGGGGAAGCGGGGAAGAAGCGCTTCGCTTCCCCCGGACGTCTTTTGCAGCAAGGGGCTGGGGGGAGATAGCGATCTCCCTGCAGCCCCTTGCTTCAGAAGAGGTCCGGGGGAAGCGGGGAAGAAGCGCTTCGCTTCCCCGCTTCCCCCGGACGTCTTTTGCAGCAAGGGGCTGGGGGGAGATAGCGATCTCCCTGCAGCCCCTTGCTTCAGAAGAGGTCCGGGGGAAGCGGGGAAGAAGCGCTTCGCTTCCCCCGGACGTCTTTTGCAGCAAGGGGCTGGGGGGAGATAGCGATCTCCCTGCAGCCCCTTGCTTCAGAAGAGGTCCGGGGGAAGCGGGGAAGAAGCGCTTCGCTTCCCCGCTTCCCCCGGACGTCTTTTGCAGCAAGGGGCTGGGGGGAGATAGTGATCTCCCTGCAACCCCTTGCTTCAGAAGAGGTCCGGGGGAAGCGGGGAAGAAGCGCTTCGCTTCCCCGCTTCCCCCGGACGTCTTTTGCAGCAAGGGGCTGGGGGGAGATAGCGATCTCCCTGCAGCCCCTTGCTTCAGAAGAGGTCCGGGGGCAGCGGGAAGCGAAGCGCTTCTTCCCCGCTTCCCCCGGACGTCTTTTGCAGCAAGGGGCTGCAGGGAGATCGCTATCTCCCCGCAGCCCCTTGCTTCAAAAGAGAAGACCCGCTGTCCCTGGGGCAAGCTTCGTTTTGCGAAGCAAGCCCATAGGGAAATTCGTCTTGCGAGGCAACTCGAAAACGAAAAAACCTTTCGTTTTGCGAGTTTTTCGTCTCGCGAGGCGTTCGTCTTGCGGGGTACCACTGTAAAGGTATTACAGTAGGTTCGAAACAATACAAATTAAAAGCCTTTGCTGATGATTTAGTTTTGACATTACAAGATCCAGATTCCACTGCAGTTAAAGCACTGGAGCTAATACATGAGTTTGGTCAGGTAGCAGGATTTAAATTAAACAAGAGCAAGACCAAAGTAATAGAGAAAAATCTGGATAATGAAGAAAGAAAACTACTACAAGAAAAAACGGGCCTAGATTTTGTGGAAAAGTTAAATATTTGGGGGTGAACCTGTCTGGGAAAAATTTGAATCTATATAAGGATAACTATGAGAAAATATGGAATGAAATTAAAAGAGATTTAAAGGTATGGTCTAACTTAAAATTGTCATTTATGGGCCGGATTTCTGTGATTAAGATGAATGTGCTGCCAAAGATGCTTTTTCTGTTTCAAGCCTTCCCAATTATCGATAATGTGAAATGTTTTAAAGAATGGCAAAAAGCTCTTTCTAGATTTATCTGGCAGGGGAGGAAACCCAGAATTAAATATAAATTACTTACGGATTCTAAAGAAAGAGGGGGATTCTATTTTGAAGCTGCTGCACTTTGTTGGATTAAAGAATGGATGAAATTAGAAGTTACAGACTTATTAGATTTGGAGGGATTTGATAATGTGTTTGGTTGGCATGCATATTTGTGATATGATAAGGTAAAAGCCCATAAAGCATTTAAAAATCATATAATTAGGAAATCATTGTATAATGTTTGGATAAAATACAAAGACCTTTTAGAAAGAAAGATGCCCAGATGGCTTTCACCAATGGAGGCAAAGGCCCAGAAAAAAATTTAATGTGAATACCAAATGGTTGAGATATTATGATTTATTAATAGAGGAAGAGGAAGGTTATAAATTAAAACCATTTGAGCAAATTAAAGATAAGCTAAATTGGCTACATTATCACCAGATTAATGAATTGTATAAATTGGATAAGAAAAACGGTTTTGCCTTGGAAAAAAATCTAAGTTGGAGACGGAGTTGTTGGATACTGAAGGTAAAAATTTATCTAAAATGTACAAGCTTTTGCTGGAGTGGCATACAAAAGATGAACAAGTTAAATCTGTGATGATAGATTGGGCAAGAGATTTAGGACATAATATAATGTTTGAAGACTGGAAAAGATTGTGGAAGAAAAGGGTCAAGTTCACCGCATGTACGTTGTTAAAGGAAAATATAATGAAGATGATGTATAGATGGTATTTGACTCCTGTAAAATTAGCAAAGATATATCATAATTGTTATAATATAAGTTGGAAATGTAAAAAAAGGAAGGAACATTTTTTCATATGTGGTGGACCTGTCCCAGGGCGAAAGACTTCTGGGGAAAGATTTATAATGAATTGAAAAAAATGTTGAAATATACATTTATAAAGAAACCAGAGGCCTTTCTTCTTGGAATAACAGGTTTGGAATTGCCCAAGAAAGATGTTAAATTATTTTTGTATGCCACAACTGCTGCTTCTATTTCGTTAGCTAAAAAGTGGAAAACTCAAGAACTACCAACAGTAGAAGAATGGCAGATGAAGATGTTGGATTTTTCGGAGCTAGCCGACCTAACCGGAAGAGTCTGCGACCAGGAGGAGGAGGAATACCACGAAGAATGGAAGAAATTTAATGATTATTTAGCTACATTTGTTAAGCTAAACTAACTGGAAATAGCTTCCAGATATTTAAGGGGCTTAGGATTGTATCTATGTTAACTGATAAAGTAATATGTTTAATACTATATGGAGAAGAGTTAAAGATGTTAATGTTTAATTTAAAGTGTATAAAAATTGGGATTTGGGAAACCGTTATAAGGATATGCAATGAAATTCAACTAAGGGGAAACGAGGAAGTCGCCCTACAAAGTTAATAACTATTATTTTCAATTAGGTTATGAATTATCTTTGTTATGTTTGTTCGTTTTGTGTTTTTGTTTGTCGTTAATATTGTAAAAACCAATAAAAAAAATTTTGGGGGGGGAAATAGAATGCACACATTTTGAGCAGGTAACCTGTTGCCATTTTCTCAAATTGAGGCAGTTTGGAGAAGACGGAGAGAGTGGGTGTTGAATGTTCAAAGCTGCTATCAGAAACAGAAGGATGGTCATTAATGGTAGCTGCATTCCAGGAGAAAGCAATTGACTACTCCCTGCATCTAGCACCTGGAACAATTATCTAATGCTGCCTTATAATCTTGCCAATCCCACAATCAAAGAGAGTGCTCATGGGCATTTTGTTCCATATGAATGATTTAAGAACAGTTTTGTTTTCTTTTTTCTTTTTTTAAGAAACATGCATTTCTAATGGCGTGGACTGTACTCTCGCTTTGTCACTGAGACTACCCAATATAGTGGGGCGGCTGGAATCAATGTGTTACAGAGTATTATTTCTTGTTTTGACAGAAGCAAGTGGGAAATAAAGTTTTCCCCTTCAGAGGGTAGAAGACAACTATGAGGTAAGGCTAACTGGTTTGTTCACCACCCTCCCTCTTACTGCAAAGACTTCAAACAGCTGTCAGGAATTATTGCATGTATCCAATACTTATAGGGGACATATAGTTTAGCCCTATGGATGAAATTTGAATTTTAACTATTTTGGGTGATATTCATTGTTGTAGTAATCTGAGCAGCCTCACTGAAATCAGTGTGTGTTTGCATTACGAGGTGCATGATGCCTGAAACCCAGTGAGGGGGAAACCAGACATAAGATGGTTATTGGGTTGAAATAGGCCAAAACATTACTGATTACAGACATAAATAGGTTTTGGCGAAGTGATTGGGTATGTACCTAGTATTAAGGAATCCACCTATTGGTTTATATGCAAGGTAGGATCAGTCCTAATCAGAGGTTACCCACTGACATGCACCAGGTGTTAGGATCCTGCCAGGACTGCCATTGGAAATGATGCTATGGCCCACAGGGGTCGTTTAACCAGCCCACGAGCCTCCCCTGAACCGAGCCACCCAATCAGTGAATCCCCAATCACTGTGCTAAACCGGTGCTGTGCAGCTTGGGGACTCTCTTCCACAGCTTTGGAAACCTTGTCTGCGCAGGCGCAAACAGTGAAAACCATGGGTGCGCGCTCAAGGACGTGCACAATCCAGCCCATGGAACAATCTCTGCTGGAGTGAATTGCCGCAGTTAAAGCAAACCTTACCAACCCAACTATGGCCCATCGGCCCCGATGTGGTCAGTCAGACAATGACAACCCTTCCTGGGTGGGTGGGTGGGACTCCGGGTGTGATTCTATTTTACAGGGTTGCAAGCCCACCTTCCTACAGGCACCTCATTGGCCTTTTCCCCTGGGATCATGCTGTGGCCTTGGCGGACAGCAAATGCTGCTTCTCCAGAGCCCCAAGACTATGTTCTGACCTCAAGCAATGATAATTATTTTACATCTATTCAATAAAAGGATGAACATTTTTTGTTCCTCCAACAACTTCTCAATAAAATCTAAAGCACATCCCATGTTTCGGAACTTCACATTTAATTTCTTTAATCAATTCGTGAATTCTTCATAACATCCAAGCACATCATTGTCCAGTGAAACTGTGTTACAATCAGGACTCAAAATACTGACAATTTGATTGTACCTGATTAAACCACTTGTGCCATGTTATAGCATCCTCATGGATGGTGAACATTTTCCCTGAAGAAGTCTGGGGATCCATTCTTCCAACTTTAACTTTATGAAAGGATTGGTTTTGCGAAGCAATCCAATTAATAATATCAAGCCCAGCTTCCAACTCCCCCTTCTGGTTGAAGGAAACTTTGTCTCCCGCACTATTATTAAATGACACACCCCTGAGGAAATGGTGGAACTAGATTTTGAAAAGAGAGAAAAGAGACATTTATGTAAGTCTTACAAATAAAGACAATGTTAACTGCATCTCACAAGGACCAGAACCATTACAGAGATTGTTTACTGCACTATTTTAACACCAATTAATGGCGCACAGTCTCAAGGTAAATCTGGCCACATTACCTGCCATAGCTGAGATGACAGCTTCATATTGTCTTCCAGTAATCTTGAATTGAGTCTGGATGAGAACATGACATGGAGAGCATGGGCCATGGCATAAACAGCATTGTATATACAGTAGCTATGGCCCGTCATGCTCATTTCAAAAAAAGGTGTAGGAAGCATTTCCAGGTTCTCCTCTCCAGTGCAAATATTCGGATCCATAACATCTGTGACTGTACTAGGGAAGACACAAGCAAAGGCTTGTTGCCAGAAGTCCTTGATGAAAAAATCACCATCTGTGGTGGAGGGACTTATGTGTTCAAGAAATTTGTGAAATTCTGGTAGAGCATTAGAATGAATTGTGAAAAACAGAGCCCCATGGATTATTTGTGCATCCCAAGTCTTTTGAAAAACTGCAGAAGTCAGCTCCATCTGGGCTGTCATTATCCACACTTTACCTCTTGCATCCTCTCCTATCTCTTCTTCTTCTGATAAATATGGAAACCATCTAAGAAATATCACTGAGTAAGATTCTCCATAGAGAACCATCACATTGGCTTTGCTACCCATTATTTTATCACGTATTTTTGCACACTCCTGCATCATGTCTTTTAGTTCAGTGATGAAAGATACTTTGGGGATTCTTTCTATGAAGGCAAAACAGATACCACTAGAGGAAAACATTGGAACCACTGTTTGCACAAATTGTTCTCCATTCTCAAGTTCCATCGTAAGGAGCCCAATCCATATCCACTTGAAATGCAGAAGTAAGGAGAGAATCCCCTCATACTGAAGGGCTTCCTAGGGGACCATTTGGTAGAAGGAGAGGCCTGGAGTTTTATCATGCATGATGGGAGCAGGACCGTATGTGAGCTAACGTGGAGGAGGGTGCAGAAAAGGAACAGAATGAATAGGAATGCTTTAATGGATACATCCAGTGAGTTTTTCTGCAAAATTTAAAAATGTAGAGCAGCACAATAAAGAAAACTGCAAAACTACGAGAACTACCTTATCCCATATGTCCCTATGTGACCGCTATAATATATGTTCTGTGTTTGTAAGAAGATTGGTTAGTTTGGCAGTGCCTTCACTTTGAAACTCCCTGCCTGTTTTAGATCAAGCAGTTGGCTTCACTGTGGTATTTTTAATTGCTGCTAAAAACATTTTTGTTTAAATTAGCCCACTCAGTTGCTTAGAAAGCTGAGGTAAATTTATATTGTTGCAGTATTCTAACCTTTATATGTTTTAAGGTTTGGTTGTGATTTTCTTTCTTTTTTTTCTTCTCTTAACTGATTTTGAGGTTTCATTTGCATTCTAGCGGTTTTAAGTAATAATAAGTAAACAAATTGTCATGGCTTATGGAGTTGGGTCCCTATGCTTCAATTAATGATTGTAAAATATTTATTAAGACTTGTGTTCTATTTCAGTTATGAATGGACACTCTCAAATGGAATTGAGAGAGCTGGAGCTTGAGGACTGTATATATGAATATTGATAAAGGAGATCAATGACCTTTGCTTCCCTGGTGTCCTTTGTACATTCTTGCCCAAAAGATTTGTGGCTGATTTCATATATTTCTCAATAATTGTATTCTATGAAGATTAACAAAGGTGCAACTCTGTTAAATCACATTGTTCTCTGCTTTGAGTTAATGCACCTAACCTCCTTTTGGTGATTGCCCGGCTACATTCAAGCTGATCCTCAATTTTCTATAAGCTCAGATGATGAAAAAACTAGAGGAATGAAAAAGTATGTTGTTTTGTTTTTCTTAATTGTATTAATAAATTCAGGATTTTTTATTTAAGGTTATGCTTTATTCACAATACCAGTTTACATATTTTAGCATCTATACCATAAAGTGAAACATGGTTGACAATACAAACACTAAGAGAAAACCGCCTTAAACCCATAGTGCTCAGCACAGAGACTGTTATACCTGTGGAATTTTGTAGATATCCAAGACTGTTGCTGCATAAAGAGAGGTTAGGGGTCAAGTCCCCCAATGACACCTATCAAATCATTCTGAGTGTCACATTTGTAGTTGGGGACGAATCTGTCCGGGCTGGACGTAAGGAGCAGTGTGGCATGATAAGTCCCCCTTGCAATGAAATAGCTGTCAAAGATGTGGAAGCCCAAAGTGGTATTAGGTAACATCTGAGGGTTGCCATTGATCTCCTTTACTGCAAATGCCAAGGCCAGGATGTGCTGGTAATTCTTAGGCACCATTCTGGAATAAGAATTGCAATCTGCATCAGAAAGATATCTTACATTGTGTAAAATTAGAATTACAACATTTTAACCAATGTAATTATTATTAATTATTATTATTATTATTATTATTATTATTATTATTTTGAAACCACCAACCCTGCTCATTTTATTGGCCAAAATCTGAAATTTTGTATCTTGAAACACCAGCTCTGTATTGGCCAAAAGAAAATTCAACATAATGCTTGACATCTTTCCCAGAAATGAGAATGGATTCAGGTCTCATACTCAATTTTGGCCAAAGGAATGCTCATCAAAAATATTTGACTTGGAAAAAAAAATTATAATGTAAATGGCATATTTAACTTTAAACCTGTGATTCTAACATTCAGTTAATGTATAACAATAGGTTGTATTCATGACAGTAATCTTATGCATTTTTAAAGTCAATAGTCTTTTCACATAAGAGATGCTTAAAGGAAAATAACAAGGTTTTGTTTTTGTTAGCCAACCATTCTGAGAAATAAACAGCATTTCACCTAATCATGGAAGTATTAGTGGACAATAACCAAAACAATAAATTATCTAGTGCAGGGGGAGAGAATGGAGAGGATGTGAATATGAGATCAATAAGTACCATTATCAGGAATATATGAAGGTAAAAAAGAAGAAGAAGATTTAGGATTTAGGATTTAATTTCATTTGCAGAATAAGGTAGACAATGGTTTTTAAAATTAATAGATATGCAGTTAGAATATTCAGGCTTATATGTTGATTAAATCAATTAATCATTATTATAGTCTTCCTTATTTTATTGTTATGGGGAACAGGAAGTTTTAACCCATTCAGTATACCATTAATCGCATTGTTATTATCTTTCTATGATCATAATAATTAAACTTAGCATATTGCATATTGCCCTTGCAACAAAACAAAACTCAACATCAAATTGACCAAAGGAAAGGCAAAACTATTTGATTTTTTCCCCTAATGTGAAGTCCATTCATTTAATACATTTGGTGATCTATGCAACATCCTCATCTGTTTTCCTAAGATTGTGGAACACTGACAGATAAGGTCTCTGTTCTCATTCATTCAGACAATGGATTCATCTGATTTATGTATCCTCAAAATTTTCTCAACTGCTTCTCCTTCTACAGCTGGGCATTTGAGAAATTACCTGTTTTAATGTTTCTATTCTTTTTTTAAAAATAACAGAAGATACAGAAGAAAAAAATCAGTAAGGCACAGCTTCCAGATTTGAGTTCTGGGGCTGACTAAACAAAGGGACAAAGGAAGAAGTCCTTACACCAGCTCTTCGGGCAATACCTGTGGGGGATCTTCAGCGAAGGCTAAGGCATTAGAGATGATGTAGCTGTGAGAAGCTATGCCACCAAGGATGAGGTCTCCTGACTTGTGATACTTGTGAAGTGGAGGGTGTGGATCATGGACATGACATTTCACAATGTGAGCCTTGCATGTTGTGTGAGGTGGCAGTACAAGAAGCATCACCAGAAATATCAGCATCCTGAGTACAAGGAAAAATCCCCACTCAAGGGCTATCACACTATGTCCACTGTCAACTCCCTTATTAGAGTATCTATAGTTTCAAAGGCAAATATAAATGCTCATTCAGTCTTTAAAGAAGTCTGAATCCTGAATAATATATATTGTTAATCTCTAGGAGTAGCTCTAAACTCTAATTGGTATATTTACTAAATACCATGTTTCAAATTCTTTCCTATTCAGATTCCACAGGGAGTTTGATAGGCAACAGAATTAATTATTGCCATTTTTGCAATGACAGGGTTTCACTATGGAATAGCAGAAGGGAGCTAGTTTGTCACATTTGAACAAATTTCCCCCTAATTATTCTGGTATCAGAATAAGAGCAAGTCATCAGATGTACAATACCATGGTCTAGAAATGGAAAACACATGGACATGTATTAGGGGGACCACACTGAAGTTTCATACAGAACTTTATTAGCTCATTCTGGAAAATATCAAACACCCTCTCACAGATTAGAAATGTGGGCAAACCATTGGTAGGAGGAATTATCAGTCGGTGTGTATGTGTGCAGGGTGGTTTTGCTTACTTTTAACAAAGACATGCCTCTTCTCTAATCAGCAACTCAGTTGCCTTTAGAAACCCAACTGCTGAGTCCTTTGAAACTCTATACTCAAATGTTCCTGGGAAAGACAGTATGTAACTAGTGCTGTTTACATGTTCCATAAAACAAGAAGCTTATATTCCTGGGAATACAGAAATAGTGTTTTGTATTTGGATAAGTTTAGTTTGAACATGCAGGAACTTCAATCAGCAAGTGGAAAATATCTGACTTGATCTCACAAACATGACCTTAATCTCAATAGCAAGCCCTTTCTTCTCATAGAAATATTAGTTGCAGTATGGTGATTGTGGAGATTTCTAGGGCTGCACACCAGAGTCAGCAGAAGACTGAACACAATCAGACCTATTCAGTGGAATCTGAGCTTCACAAGAGTCCTGTGAAAATAGCTCCTCATCTCCCTTGGGTGGGTCACCCAGAGTGATCTGCCAGTGGACTCTGCATTGGGTAGGAAGTTTACAGGGGTTTGCTTCAACAATATGTCCCTTACAGGGAACATAGTAGTGAAAGAGACCCAAGCAGGATTGAATTCACCACTCATTGCTGGAATGATAATTGTTAAACTGTACCTTGCAGGAGTCAATGCTTCTGCTTTGGCTTGGAGAGGGGAAGGAAACACAAATTCTCTTTCCACGTCATGACTGTTACTGTAGAGTTTTAAAAACATTTATGACTGATTATATTACTATCCTGCATGTTTTCCCAAAGGTGCCCCAATTAAACATTAGCCCTGCATTCTCACAGTTGTTGGTAATTAAACAGGCCGCTGTGGTGACCTTGTGCTGCTAGTATCCACAGATGATAGTGACTGATGGTCCATGCTTGCATTCAGTGGAAATTCTTTGGAAAGCAAGTTAATTTAATTCTTCCTCCTCAAAAATATATGTAATGGGTACCAACCCATAGACCCCTGCACTTATTTGCCAGGTTTCATTCTTTATTTTTATTTGATATTATTGGTATTATTTTCAGAATAATTGCATATTTATTCTAGAGATAAAGTGAAGCCATACGCAACAAACCCAGCAAAGCATTCCCTGGAAATTCCCGAAAGTACATTATAAAAGCCTGTATTTCCATACATATTGTTACCACTTCCATCATACAAAAGTTGCTTTTTTGCTTGACTGCAATGGTGCTAAATTAGTTTTGCTGCTGCATAACCATAACTCATTTCAGGCTATCATTGTGCCTAAACATGGGATTATTAAAACCGAATAGAGGTATGGGTGCATAGAGGTCAGCTTTGATCCCAATTTATAGGTGCTTGGTATCTCCTCCCATATTTTTTCACATTTACCACAAAGGTCTGAAGGTGGCTTGTGATAGATAGTATGGGTTCTTTACTGGACAAACCAGTTTCTGTATAAGGATTCACACCCTCAAGAAGTATTGATATCATTTTATGAGGCAGGATTATTATCCTTTACCTCACCTGATTCTGTCTAGCTGTATGAATGATATTTTAACCCTATTTTCAGGGCTCTCACAGCACCAGCCCAAAAGACTTGTGGGGTACAGTATGAACCATGAGTGAAGTTCTGAATTTACTCTCCTCAAACACAAATAACATATCTTATAGAACTTTGAAGCTTAGGAGGAAGGCAGTGAGAAATTCAACTGAATTGCCTTTCAGAACCAAGGAAACCAAATGTTAATATATAAAAACCTTTAATAAGAAGACCAGGAAATGGTAGGGAAACAGAAGGAAAACAATTATACACAACACAGGATTGTACATGAAACAAATAAATTCAATCTTATTGAGCTAGATGTTACCTAATTGAACAGAATTGGGTTTCAGTACATGTGAAGATTTCCTTATAAAATAGCAGTTCAGAACCAAATATTTTTGGACTCCTTATCATATGCTTATAGGAAAACTAAAGCTTAAGGTAAAGCTGCACAGATTTATAGGCATCTGAGACCTGTAGAAGATGGTATTCACCTTAACAAAGATTGGTGCCTAGCCCAATCAGGAAATACAATTAATCTGTGATGTCAATGAGCTCTTTGCCTGAGAGAAAAAATTCTGTGTCCCTAACAGCCCTAAACTGTCATTACTGTAAGCATTTCTTGTTCAGAACACTTGATCCATTGCTTAGAACAGTTTAATTTCAGGATGTGTATTCAGAGACAATGCATTTGGTATCTACCCATTCAGAAATCAATACAGGTGGTGATAATTGCATATATTCAAAGTGGTCCAGTTGTGCTATCTCAATATATTGCCATTCTTCAAAGGACTTACCATATTTACCCAAGTCAAATGCACCATCAAATCTAATGCACATCTCAATTTTCAGAATCTTGAAACAAAAAAAGTATTTACTGCTGAATGTAAATGTGCCACCAAATTTAATGTGCACTTTAATTTTTGAAATGTAATTTGGTCAAAAAAGGTGACCATTAGATTCGAGTAAATATGGTATAAAGGTGAAACTCGGAAAATTAGAATATTGTGGAAAAGTTCATTTATTTCAGTAATTCAACTTAAAAGGTGAAACTAATATATGAGATAGACTCATGACATGCAAAGTGAGATATGTCAAGCCTTTATTTTTATAATTGTGATGTTTATGGCATACAGCTGATGAAAACCCCAAATTAACAATCTCAGAAAATTAGAATATTAAATGAAATCATTAAATGAATATTAAATTAAATGAATATATTAAATGAAATGAATCTATCTCATATATTAGTTTCACCTTTTAAGTTGAATTACTGAAATTCAGCACCTGATACAGAGCACTCTATTACACTGGATCTGATACAAGCATGGGAAATAAACAAGATGAGCTTGAGCTCTTGGTACAGCAAACTAAATATGACATAATAGGCATCACTGAAACCTGGTGGGATAAGTCCCACGATTGGAATGTAATAACGGGGGGATACAATCTATTTCAGAGAAACAGACCAGACAAGAAAGGAGGAGGAGTGGCGTTATATGTCAGGGATGTGTATACCTGTGAAGAGATCCAAGATTTAGAACCTCAAAGCCAAAGTAAGAGCATTTGGGTCAAAATTAAGGGAGAGAAGAATAACAGTGACCTCATTGTGGGAGTTTACTATAGATCCCCAAGCCAAACGGAGGACATAGATGATGACTTCCTGGAACAGATGGCCAAGCATGCAAAAGGAAGGGAGATAGTAGTAATGGGGGACTTCAATTACCCGGATATTTGTTGGATGTCAAACTCAGCCAAGAGCATAAGGTCAAACAGATTCCTCACTGGCCTTGCAGACAACTTCATTGTCCAGAAAGTGGGAGAAGCAACAAGAGGAACAGCCATTTTAGATCTGGTCCTAACCAATGTTGATGACCTGGTTAGTGAGGTAGAAGTGGAAGGATCATTAGGCGCAAGTGATCATGCTCTTCTGAAGTTTACTATACAGCGGAAAGGAGCAGGCAAGCATACTAGGACTCAATTTCTTGACTTTAAGAAAGCCGACTTCATAAAACTTAGGGAAGTGCTGGGTGAGATCCCTTGGACAGTAATACTAAAAGGTAAGGGAGTCCATGATGGCTGGGAGTTTGTTAAGAGGGAGATAGTAAAAGCACAACTTCAGGCAATACCAATGAGACGGAAACATGGAAGGTGCCTAAAGAAGCCAGGGTGGCTATCTAAAGAACTTTTAAGTGAGTTAAGATTAAAAAAGGATGTGTACAAAAAATGGAAAAGGGGGGAAACCACCAAAGAGGAATTCAAACAAATAGCCAGCACATGTAGACACAAAGTCAGAAAAGCTAAAGCACAGAATGAACTCAGGCTTGCTAGAGAGGTTAAAAGCAACAAAAAAGGCTTTTATGGGTATGTCCGTAGCAAAAGGAAGAACAAAGAAACAGTGGGGTCACTCAGAGGAGAAGATGGTGAAATGCAAACAGGGGACACAGAAAGGGCTGAACTCCTCAATGCCTTCTTTGCCTCAGTCTTCTCCGATAAAGAAAACAATGCCCGACCTGAAGAATTTGAAGCAAATGATTCAGCAGAGGAAACACAGCCCAGAATAACTAAGGAGATAGTACAAGAATACTTGGCTAGTTTAGATGTATTCAAGTCTCCAGGGCCAGATGAACTGCATCCAAGCGTATTAAAAGAACTGGCAGATGTGATCTCAGAACCACTGGCAGTCATCTTTGAGAATTCCTGGAGAACAGGTGAAGTCCCGGGCAGACTGGAGGAGGGCAAATGTTGTCCCTATTTTCAAAAAGGGGAAAAGAGAGGCCCCAAATAATTATCACCCAGTCAGTCTGACATCAATACCAGGGAAGATTCTGGAACAGATCATTAAGCAAACAGTCTATGAGCACCTAGAAAGGAATGCTGTGATCACCAATAGTCAGCATGGATTTCTGAAAAATAAGCCATGTCAGACTAACCTGATCTCGTTTTTTGACAGACTTACAAGCCTGGTAGATGAAGGGAACGCAGTGGATGTAGCCTACCTTGATTTCAGCAAGGCATTCAACAAGATGCCCCATGATATTCTTGTAAAGAAGCTGGTAAAATGCGGTCTTGACTATGCCACCACTCAGTGGATTTGTAACTGGCTGACTGACCAAACCCAAAGGGTGCTCATCAATGGTTCCTCTTCATCCTGGAGAAGAGTGACTAGTGGGGTGCCACAGAGTTCTGTCTTGGGCCCGGTCTTATTCAACATCTTTATCAACGACTTGGATGATGGACTCAAGGGCATCCTGATCAAATTTGCAGATGACACCAAACTGGGAGGGGTGGCTAAGACCCCAGAGGACAGGATCACACTTCAGAACGACCTTGACAGATTAGAGAACTGGGCCAAAACAAACAAGATGAACTTTAACAGGGAGAAATGTAAAGTATTGCACTTGGGCAAAAAAAATGAGAAGCACAAATACAAGATGGGTGACACCTGGCTTGAGAGCAGTACATGTGAAAAGGATCTAGGAGTCTTGGTTGACCACAAACTTGACATGAGCCAACAGTGTGACGCGGCAGCTAAAAAAACCAATGCAATTCTGGGCTGCATCAATAGGAGTATAGCATCTAGATCAAGGGAAGTAATAGTGCCACTGTATTCTGCTCTGGTCAGACCTCACCTGGAGTACTGTGTCCAGTTCTGGGCACCACAGTTCAAGAGGGACACTGACAAACTGGAACGTGTCCAGAGGAGGGCAACCAAAATGGTCAAAGGTCTGGAAACGATGCCTTATGAGGAATGGCTAAGGGAGCTGGGCATGTTTAGCCTGGAGAAGAGGAGGTTAAGGGGTGATATGATAGCCATGTTTAAATATATAAAAGGATGTCATATAGAGGAGGGAGAAAGGTTGTTTTCTGCTGCTCCAGAGAAGCGGACACGGAGCAATGGATCCAAACTACAAGAAAGAAGATTCCACCTAAACATTAGGAAGAACTTCCTGACACTAAGAGTTGTTCGACAGTGGAATTTGCTGCCAAGGAGTGTGGTGGAGTCTCCTTCTTTGGAGGTCTTTAAGCAGAGGCTTGACAACCATACGTCAGGAGTGCTCTGATGGTGTTTCCTGCTTGGCAGGGGGTTGGACTCGATGGCCCTTGTGGTCTATTCCAACTCTATGATTCTATGAAATTCTATGATACTATGGAAAACAGATTCATGAGCAAAAAACAAACAAATATGGACATACTGAAATGTAAAAGACCAGCTTCATCCCCACAATAAATTTGTTTTTTTAGTACCGGTACTTCTAACCATGTCTACTCACATGTTTGCAAATTCCTGCACTGTGGAGGGTCCCTTCCAACTCCACAATTCTGTGATTCTATGTCAGTATCCCAAAGAATGGAGTGAGAATTACTTCCTGATAAAGGGTTAGCATTGCAGCCCTGACTTTAGTGTTTTTGGGACGGGGAACAATGTTTATTAGAGCTGACTTTTTAGTAGCATCCACTGTAGAAGAAAAATCAACCCTAAATTCTTATGAAATGAAGAGGTAATTTATAATAAACATGACTCTGGTTCACTAATTAAAGAAATTCAATTAGTTCTTCGTATTAGTTGTTCCCTTTTGTTCAATTCTGGCTTCAACAAAATAATGTAGCATTTGGGAGAAAAGATGCAGACCAACAATCCAGCACTGGAGGCTAAGATAGAAAAGATCTCCACAGCTACCATGTATTTCCCCTTGGTGCTCAAGTAGGTTGGAACAAAGGATAACCACACACTGCAAAACACTAACATGCTAAAAGTGATAAACTTGGCTTCATTGAACGTGTTGGGTAACTTCCTGGCAAGGAAGGCCAAAGTGAAGCTGGCAATGGCCAGGAAGCCAATATAGCCAAGGACACAGTAAAACATAATCACAGTCCCCTCGTTACATCCAAGTATTATTTCTTCAGCCATTGAGTATACATCAGCCTCTGGCAATGGGGGAGAGATTGCCAGCCACACAATGCAAATGCTTCCTTGTGTAAGGGAGCAAGAAAGTACAATGGAATTGGCCAGCCTCTTTCCCACCCATTTCCTCATTCTGGATCCTGGCTTGGTGGCCATGAAAGCCAGAACCACAGTGAGGGTTTTTGCCAGCACACAAGAAACAGCCACTGAGAAGATGATGCCAAAAGCAGTTTGTCGGAGGAGACACGTCACCTTCTGAGGCTGTCCAATGAATAGCAGTGCAGAAAGGAAGCAGAGCAGGAGGGAGAGGAGGAGAGTGTAAGTGAGCTGCCGGTTGTTGGCTTTGACAATGGGAGTGTTGTGGTTCTTCATAAATGTGAAGAGAACTAGAACGGTGACCAAAGAACAGGAAAGAGCAGAAAGGGCTAAACTGAGCCCGACAGGTTCTTCAAAAGACAAGAAGCTTATTTCCTTGGGAATACATAAATCATGGTTTTTATTTGGATATGTTTGTTCTGAACATGTGGAACAATCACTCATATCTGAAATGGAAAATACATGGTTTAATCTCACAAACATGCCATTAATCCCTCTTTTTAAAAAAATAATAATATTGATTTTCACAAAATTAAAAACACACTAACAAATAAACAGACAAACATAAAGCATAACCTTATTGAAACTAATCCTCTTAACATTGTTAAGTGACTTCCTCGTATCCCCCTAGTTTAATTTCAATGCATATCATTTTAACGTTTTCCCAAAAAACATGCCTTTTATCTCAAGAGCAGCTGATTATACATTTTGAATGTATAGCCCTGTTGTGATTAAATATCACGTAAACTCCCTCCTATTTCTAAAGACATTATTGCTTACCCTTCTGGTCTGAAATCTTCCCTTCTGGACAGGGGATACAATCATAGCAACAAAATGGCTCCCCTTCTTTTGCTTTCTTGCTTGAACCAGGACTGCACTGCTCACTGCATAGAGAAATAGGCCTTGCCTAATCCATGAAGGAAAAAAGAGAATTATGGAGTCATTATGGGGATGGCTAATTTTAAATTATCTTATTTCAAACTGAACCTTTAGTCACAACATAAAAGTGGTGATGCAGGCTGACCTTGTCCAGAATGCACTCATTGTGAGGAAGGAACCATGTGCCCTTTCTAAAAGTGAGACAGTGAGGAGGATGAGGAGAGGGTGGGCATTGAATGCAGAAGGCTGTTTTCATAAACAGAAGACTGGTCATTTATATTAGCTGCATTGCAGGAAATAACAGTTTACGGCTCCCCTGTATCCAGCAGCTGAAACAATGTTCTAATTGTGCCTTACGATAGTGGCAATGCCACAGTCAAGGAGTGTGGTCATGTCCATTTTGTTCCATTTGAATTATTTAACTCCTGTCTCATTGCCAATATTCAATATTCAATCAATATTCAATCAATTATAGGAATAAATATTTTTAAAGAAACATGCTATTGTGATGGTATGGTGCCAGGATGCTGTCGTCGGCTCCCGAATGGTTACCCAGGAAAGTATAAAGACAAGGAAAGGTTTCTTACAGTCCTTTTTTTTATTTCAGACTTTTCAGAGAGAGGCTATAGAACCCTGCCTCTTGGATAATGGTGTTGTCCCGAGTGAATCTCCACCCTCACTTTTTCTGTTTCCAACTTCCCCATCCATCAACATAATCACCTCCTCTACAGGTGCTCCTAAGTGCCCTATCTCTTTGAGCTCCTTGCTCTCATACATTTAAGACTCACCAGGGTCTGGGAGATGGAGGGTCTGATATGATTTCTAATGACAACTTGTCAGCCAAGTGTTGGTCCAGCTCTCCCATGATTTCCCAACTTTCCCCCTCATCTGTCTCTGAGCTGTGACCTCCCTCAAATGCCTGTTGTAAATACAGTATATGCCATCTACCTCTTCTTCCTCCCTAGAAGAGCCAGGATGGGGAGATGGATTCCACCATTCCTCCTTTGCCCATTACCTAACACTGTAGCCTCCTCTCATCAGTCAAAGTACCCAGAATAGTGAGGTTACTGGATCAGTGAATTACAAAGTATTAAGAGCTGTTTTGTTACAGGCAAGCGGGAAATAAAGTTTTCCACTTGTTGAGAGGGAATAGGACTCCTGTCTGGTGGTGCTAGCTAGATTGCTCACTTCCCTGACTCTCACTCAGCAGACTTCAAGCAGCTGACAGAAATCATTGCTTAAAGAAAATGCTTAAAAGTGACATATAGCTTGGTCCTATGAAGGGAATTTGATATTTTGGGTAATATTCAATGATGCAGTATTCTGAGTGTACTCACTGAAATTAGTGTGCGTGATACCTGAGGCCAGGTGAGGGGTAAATTAGTGATAAGATACAGGGCGTGGGTATTAGTTTGAAGATCAGAGAAATAGGTAGGTTTCAGCCAAGGTATTGGATATGTCTGCGGTATCAAGCAACCTACTTCCTGCCAGTACAGCCGGGGAGGGAGGGGATGTGCATCCAACCACCAGCTGCACAGGAAGGAAAACATGGCCCTGGGATGATGTCACAGCCATGCTGGGAACCAAATGCCACTTCCTTGGACACCAAATAAGTGCAGACTAACTATATATTTCAATCAATAATGAATATTTTACACATCTTCAATGCAAAAAAGGCATATTCTTTGTTCACCCAACAACTTATCAATACATAAAATCAAAGAGCTCCTGAAGAGGAATTTCATGAAGTGTACTTTGTATAATCAGTTCCCAAATTCTTTATAAATTCCAAACTCAACATTGAGCAGAGAAACTGTGTTAAAATCAGGACTGAAAATAGCTACAATCTGATTGTACCTGATTAAACCACTTGTGCCAAGTTATAGCATCCTCATGGATGGTGAACATTTCACCGAAGATGTCTGGGGATCCATTCTCCCAACTTCAACTTTATGAAAGGATTGGTTTTGCGAAGCAATCCAATTAATAACATCAAGCCCAGCTTCCAACTCCCCCTTCTGGTTGAAGGAAACTTTGTCTCCCACACTATTATTAAATGACAGACGCCTGAGGAAATGATGAAACTAGATTTTGAAAAGAGAGAAAAGAGAAGTTTGTGTCAGTTTTACAGATGAAGACCATGCTAACTGTATCTAACAAGGACCAGAACTGTCTGAGAGATAATTTACTGCACTATTTTAACACCAAATCTATGGCACAAGGTCTCAAGGGAAATCTGGCCACATTACCTGCCACAGCTGATAAAACTGAGATACCAGCTTCCTATTGTCTTCCAGTAATCTTGAATTGAGTCTGGCTGAAAACATGGCATGGAGAGAATGGGCCATGGCATAAACAGCATTGTATATACAGTAGCTATGGCCCGTCATGCTCATTTCAAAAAAAGGTGTAGGAAGCATTTCCAGGTTCTCCTCTCCAGTGCAAATATTCGGATCCATAACATCTGTGACTATACTAGGGAAGACACAAGCAAAGGCTTGTTGCCAGAAGTCCTTGATGAAAAAATCACCATCTGTGGTGAAGGGACTTATGTGTTCAAGAAATTTGTGAAATTCTGGTAGAGCATTAGAGTGAATTGTGAAAGACAGAGCCCCATGGATTATTTGTGCATCCCAAGTCCTTTGAATAAACTGCAGAAGTCAGCTCCATCTGGGCTGTCATTATCCACACTTTACCTCTTACATCCTCTCTCATCTCTTCTTCTTCTGATAAATATGGAAACCATCTAAGAAATATAATTGAGTAAGATTCTCCGTAGACGACTATCACATTGGCATTGCTACCCATTACTTTATCACGTATTTTCGCACCCTGTTGTAACAACACTTTTACTTCAGTGATGAAAGATACTTTGGGGATTCTTCTATGAAGGCAAAACAGATACCCACTGGAGGAAAACATTGGAACCACTGTTTGCACAAATTGTTCTCCATTCTCAAGTTCCATCGTAAGGAAGCCCAATCCATGTCCACCCAAAATGCAGAAGTAAGGAGAGAATCCCCTCATACTGAAGGGCTTCTTGGGGGACCATTTGGTAGAAGGAGAGGCCTGGAGTTTTATCATGCATGATGGGAGCAGGACCATATGTGAGCTAAAGGGAGGAGGGTGCAGAAAAGGAACAGAACAAATAGGAATGCTTTAATGGAGATATTCAGTCAGATTTTATTCAACATAGCAGCACAATAAATGAAACTGCATAACTACGAGAACTACCTTATCCCACATGTGCCTATGTGATCGCTATGCTCTGTGGAATTGCATTGCCACTGATGCATCATAATATATTTTCTTCATTCATAAAAAGAACGTGATTGTTTAGTTTGGTAGTGCCTACACTTTGTAACTCCTTGCCTGTTTAAATCAAATGGTTGGCTTCACTGTCCTCTTTATAATCACTGTTAAACCATTTTTTTTGTTTAGATTAGCCCACTCGATGCTTAGAAAGCTGAGGTAATTTTAATTTGCTGCTGTATTTTAACTTTTATATGTTTTAAGCTATGGTGGTGATTCTTTTCTTGATTTTTTAAATTTTCTCTTCTCTTAACTGTTTTTATGGTATTCTTTACCATCAAGCGTTTTTTTTAAAAAAAATAATAAATAAATAAATTATCATGACTCATGGAGTTCAGTTCCTATGGTTCAATTAATGAATGCAAAATATTCTTTAAAAAAATGAAATGTGTTTCTTGTGTTCTACTTTGTTATGAATGGATGCCTCAAATTAAATTCTAAGAGCTGGAGCTAGAGGAGTGTAAATATGAGTATTGATAAAGGAGATGAAGAGGATGTCATGTTTCAGAGAAACAGTCCTCACTGTGTTCAACCCCGACATCCTACTTTACTGTGTCATTTTTTTTTTCATTTTCCAGATTTGTTATAACATCTGCTTGTATTTGCAGAAGAGTGTTAATGCCATTTGGGATGGTCATCACTGCCCAAATGGCATTAAAAGTATTTTTTCTGGACCAGGGAGATTCATGCAGGATCTATCCTGATCCTTTCTATGGCACCTCAAATCCTTTAAATATATGCATCCCCTTCATATAGGCACCCTCCTGCCTGCATCTCTACAAAGACAATGGAGAGAACATCAAATTTAAGTGGTGCAATCTAATAGGCATGCAATGCTACTTGTTTGCTAATTTTAGCAGTAGTCTCCCTAATTATTAACGAAA